TTCTATACTTCGTTTTTGATTGGTTATTCTAGCTTTTGTAACAATGTTTCCCCCAAGTGTAGGATTGTTAATTAATCTGAAACTTTTAAAACCATTTATTTTATTTCATTTTCAACATCATCACTTGATAAGACACAGAGTGTGTTGAAACAAAATGGCTATTTTTGTAGTGATTTTATAACATACTTATGTCATAATTTTTTTATAAAAAATAATTATATACATATATATATATATATATATATATATATATATATATTAATGTGAATAAAATTTGCCATTGAGATGTTTGATATTACATTCAACGTCAACAGAGATTCGTACCCAATTCAGTGGTGTATCAGCAATTTATTGCCTTTATTTTTAGCGCGTCCGTCTTCGCGGATGTGGTTCCATGCAGGCTGTCGTGATCATTTGTCTTTTTCACCTTACACTCGCTCCTTAGCCATCTCTCTTCGTTTTATTTCCTTTTTCCTTCGACTATTGACGTATTTTTCCCGATTTGTTCCAACTCAAGACATGTCTCCGATTTTTATTTTTGGGCATCTATTTTTTTCACATATATATGTGACGTCGTCCCCCGGTCGCAGCGTCGACTGTGTCGTTCGATCCCGTTCGCGGCGCCAATTGTGACGTCACGTGCTCCCCAGGCTCTGATATCCTGGTCACGGACAGCACCAGTTGTGACGTCTTTTGTCGCGGCGTCAGCTGTTCGCTCCTCGCTGCTCAAACGTGACGTTCTAACCCTTTGGTTAGATTGATACCAACCTCGTCGTTTCCCAACCCGCTTCCAACGCCTGGTTACCAGGGTAACTGCACTGATCTCCGGTCTGCCTACCCACGTTGTGACTTGATCTTAGACAGACGAGAACATCAGGTCTTGGGGCCGTAATGCAAGTTGAGTCTAACGGGGGTGATATCACACAATTATGTATAATAAAAAAATAAAATAAAATAACAACTCACAAGGTCCAACGTATCAAGAAAAAGGTAACAAACTTTTATGTCTATTTGCTCGGTATATAGGACTATGTCTACCTCCCGACCCGTTCTGTGGATTGTGGCACAACGCTTTTACTAGGCAACTTTAAGGCTTCCAGTTGTCTGCTCTCTTAAAAATTTTCGTTTCAGTGTGTCTTTGGACGAAAGTCGAAAAAAACTTATTTCTTGTGGTCTGATTCTAAGTCGCTCTTCAAACTACTTGTTCTTGGTTGAAGAAGAGTCTAGAAGTGTGCGTGAATCTTGGTTAGCTATCTTGATGCGGTTTCAACACTGGGCGCTCATCTCTGCTTGTCGTCTGCGGCTGAACTCTCTCGCCCTCCGTGGCTGCAACTCTCTGCCTGTCGTTCACGGCTGATCTCTCTCGCCGTCCGTGGCTGCAACTAACTCTTTCTTCAGAGTCTGAATTATTGTTCACTCATCTCCGCCGTCAGTGCACGAATTAACTTCTTCTCTTCGGCTTCGGTTGGACGAGCTTATTCACTTCGGCTTGGGTTGGACGAACTTCTCTTCTTAGGCCAAACGGACCGGCCTTTCTTGCCCACAAAGGGGCGAATGAACCGAGCCCGCCGTCCGCGCTCAAACTCCCTCGCCGTCAACGGCGCAACTCTGATTTCTGTCGGTTGGAGTCTCGCTTTTATTGATGCAGTCAAAAACTGGGGTGGGTCTGTTTGGCGTCAGGGTTTTCTTGATAATTCTAAATACGTATCCACCCTTCTTATTTCTGGTTAGGGATTTTCCATTTTCGGTAATTCACTTTCACTCCTACTCCCTTACTGTGCCTCTGGGGGCGTATACCCGCTTCCCCGCTCCTTCGTATGTCATGTGACCTCTCTCGGCCAATGGGGTCCTGGTCGGGCATCTTTCCTCCTCCCTCGCACGTCATGTGACCGCTCTCGGCCAATGGGGTCCTGGTCGGGTGTCTTTCCTCCTCCTTCATGTATCATGTGACCGGCTTCGGCCAATGAGGTTCTGGTCGGTATCTTTCCTCCTTCCTTCGTGACGTCTTTAATCGGGCGTGGACAATCCGTGGCCCTGTTCTGGGGGAAGAAACACCTTGCTTAAAGAAACGAAAATTTAAATTGCCCTTTTTGTACGTGACCGAAATGACGCTCTCGGTTTCTTTTACACGCGGTATTTGTCAAACAGATTATCGCTAATTGGATACGATCTAAGAAAGGGATTTCTCAGACTGGGTGGCGTTTTCGTGAACTAATAAAATACTTCACTTTTTTCTTTCGCGGGAAAAGGCCTGATAATAAAATTTTCATTATCTCAAAAAACATTTTCAGCCAACATCATTCTTGTGTGGCTTTATTTTCAATTCTGGAATGGTCTGGGTTTTCGTATTAATGGTTTGCCTGCATGTCCTTAGATAAACTTCCCACCTGTTACCTATCATATTTTTTTTTCCATTGTCTCTAAACTTTATTTCTTCAACCAAATTGATAACAAACTTCCATTTTTTCGTGGACACGGAAGTAGGTCAGGTGTTTGACCGGGATACCTTCCAACATCTGTTATGTATCAATCGAGTGTGTGTGTGTTCGACTATGACCTGGTTTTCGTATTATATTTTTTCTTTCTTTTCTTCTTCTTCTCTTTCTTTCTCCCAGATCGCTTGAACGCAATTAAAGAATTATTCTCAAAACCCAAATGTTTTCAGCTCTAAATAATTATCAAATGGTTGACAAACCGTAAAAAAATGAAAAATCATATATTTATGAATATTTCTTTTCAGCCTGCCAACTTATGCATGGTGCCATATATATATATATATATATATATATATATATATATATATATTATTATTATATAGATTGTAAGTGTGTGTGTGTGTGTGTGTGTGTGTGTGTGTGTGTGTGTGTGTGTGCGTTTATATATTGGATCGGATTTCCTATTTTTTCAACCGATTTCAAAAGTAAACTTCACAGGACTACGTAAAATTACCTTGCGGTGGTTTTGACAGCACCAAAATTGGAAAAACACAATCGTTTTTGCACAAAATCAATTTGAAAACACGATTAAGAGACATCACGGGAATGAAAGGGGGACAACTCATATCGAGTTATACTTATTATAAAAACCCAGCTTGTTTGTGTGTGTGTTCGTTTATATATGGGATCGGACTTCCTACATTTTTCAACCGATTTCAACAAAACTTCACTTCTTTTTTTTTTGGCAGGTAGTGTTCCTTATTGTCTTGCACACTTTTTTCTTTATTTTTCCATCCAGAATGCTTTAAAAATTCCATTTACAAGATAATTGTTTATAATAAAATTCTATTCAATCGGTAGACTCATAACGATTGAAAACAATGTTTTTGTTTCAGTTTGGGTTTGACCAATTCGTAAAAAAAAAAAAAAAAAAAAAATAATTAAGACATGCGTGTCCGTCAACTCTAAACAATAATTTTTGTCAATTTTATTTTTCAGTCTTTATGATGGTCGATATTAGATCTATCTCTTATTGTTACATCCCCGGGTAACGCCGGGCTCTGCTTTTTATATATATATATATATATATATATATATATATATATATATATATATATGATAGACTCTCCCGTCGTTTTCTACGTATGAGTGTCTTTCAGTTCAGTTTTTATGTTAATTTTTCGTATGATACATCAATTCTGCATGGGATTTGAAAACAAATCCACACAAGGGACATGCTGAACGGTTGACCGTCATATGGGCCGATGTATTGGCCGGAGTTTTTGTGTTAGTTCTTAATTCTCTCAGATGGTTGAGACGATTCTTTTCAAATTTAGTTATGCAAATTGTAATTAAATAAAACGTCTCCTAACCAAAATACATCCCTTGTGAGTACTACACGAACTTAAAAGAATCCAATAAAACACCCAAAGTAAAATGAAATTAATATGAAATGCTAGAAGATGTAAGCTTTTGAATGACCCATGTCCTTTGTACTTACATGCGAAACAATATATCACTAGGTTTATATAAAAAATAAAAGGTTACTAAATCAGTGAAAGTAAGTAGCTATTTTTGCCGTGATGGTCATAAATTTTACAAAAAAAAAAAAAAAAAAATTTGTAACCTAAAAAAAAAATTTGTAACCTAATAACATACATACTTATACTTGAGGTGAAAATAATTCTACATATTGTAATGGATTTTAATACATTTAAGTTTTCTTAAAACAAATATAGTATATTAAAAATTAAAAGTGAAAAAATTTCAAATCGTCGTTAATTAAAGTGTATTCTAACCTAAACACCCACCAAAAATCTTTAAATATAAAAAATAGGAAAAAAATGCCGTAAGAATTTTTACCGTTAAAAATAAATTAAAAAAAAAAAAATCAAGACGACATGCATTTAACGGATGTTAGATTTCATTGAAAAATACATCCCTACCCCCTCCGAACCGTAGCAAATAACTGATACATCTAAATATAGACATAATAAACGCGCAGACACCCCTAGTCTAGTAAAAGTGGTTTTATCTGTAACCTTGGAAACATGAATTATAATTTTAGCTGTGTCTTTAAAACCCAGTAATTTTTAAAAAGCTACTCCAAAATTCGCTTGAGGATGAAATGGAACTAATGTCTTTAATTTAATTACAAAATTAAATTGTAAGCTTTTAGCTTCCATTTTTGAAACATGGTTAGAACTGTGTAGCGGAAAAAACCATATTTTAAATCAATTAATTTATAATATTAATGCTCTGTAAATTTACATTCAGCACTATTTTGTAAAAATAAAAATATCTATAAGAACACCGGATTATAAATCTTACTGTTCTTTATATATATATATATATATATATATATATATATATATATATATATATATATATATATATATATATATATATTTACAGGATGAAAATATAAACAGTAACTCAACTGTGAGCAACCATTTTATGTAATGTTTAAAGTCATAAAAAATGTATATTTGTAAGTCTCTATGTATATTTAAGACTATTAGAAATCTTTTATTTTGATATATGGCACTGAACCAAGTTTCTCAAATGTTCTCATATAAATTTAAATCATATCTCTCTATATATTTATTTATCTCAATCTATCTATCTATCTATCTATCTATCTATCTATCTATCTATTTTATAATAGTGTGAGAAATATACAAAATAGTTACTCAAATATTGCTACCTTCTCGTAACTTTTATGTGGACGCAGTGTATTATTGCTATCGACGAGTTTTCAGATTGTAAGATAGTAAATTCTGTATTTAGGGTGTCATATATATATATATATATATATATATATATATATATGTGTGTGTGTGTGTGTGTGTGTGTGTTTGCGTGAGTGTGTATATGTTTTCGTATGTACTTGTGTGTGTGAGCAAGACCGTTTGTTTGTCTTTCTTAAGACAATTTAAAAAGCTTTTATTTTGACATATCAATGACATATGTCAAAATAAATGTTTTCAAATTTTCTCATCCAAATTTAAATCATATCTGCCATCTCTCTGTCATATTTGAACCTTTACATCTATCTATCTATCTATCTATCTATCTATCCCAGTCTGTTGATCAATATATATCTATCTATCAATCTGTCTGTAGGATGTGACAGAAATACCTCCCATATATACCTTCCGGAAATACCTCTTACATAATAGTAAGCCATGAGCTAAATGAAGGCACCATTGCCAATATTGTCTTTATAATGTTTATATATATATATATATATATATATATATATATGTGTGTGTACATATATATATATATATGAGTGTGTGTGTGTAAATATATATATATATGAGTGTGTGTGTGTACATATATATATATATATATGAGTGTGTGTGTGTACATATATACATATATATATATATGTGTGTGTGTGTGTGTGTGTGTGTGTGTGTGTGTGTGTGTGTGTGTGTGTGTATGTGCGTTTGTGTGTTTACAGTGCCACATCTCTTAGGACCATTGTTAGTATCATGATCGAGTACTAAATATCTTAAATGAGTTCTTTCACCAATCAAATTGTAGGACTCACCACGATCTGGCAGTAATAATCGTGTCCGTTGTTTATAAAATAGAAAATTATGCCAGCATTTCATTTTACAATACCAGTAAGTTATTATTTTCGTGCCCACATTTAATAATCTGCTTAGACCTTCTAAAATCAAAGCGTTTTGGGTCGGAAGATATTATAATGGCGTTAACAGGCGAGTGCAATTTCCTCCAATATTTGAAACCTGAAGATGGAAAATTCATTAAACTGAGAACCATACTAGGAAAATTCTTGCGATCAGAGATCGATACTTGATTATTTTGGGGCTCTATCTCCGGTGGTGAGCACTGTTCTGAAAAATACAAAAAAGAAAATCAGCTGCATTCACTGCAAAATTTGTTGTGTATTAATTTAAATAATTTTTAAGTTTGTTAACATTGATTATTCATATACACATACACATATATTTTAATATATTTTAGTGTTAGACGTTATTTACATATACAAAAATATTTTAGTAAATTCTCTGTTTATAATAAACAGTATTAATAACATTTACCGGCCAGAACGTCCGAGAAATTTCATAGAAAATATCCAGCCTTCCGACAGAAATCGAACCAGTATCCTACACGGAACCGATATATAGCCTGACGTGCTATACCAGTTTAGCTACGAAGGAGTGTCTGGTTATCGAGATTGATTTTACTGGATTCGTGAAAATTAGACAACACCCATAAAAAAATTGAAAACTTATTCCCCCTCCTACTTAAACGCTTCAATATAATACTACTTAGCTTTCAAAAGTAAATCTTTTTTTTTTTCTGAAGTTATTGAATATCTCTTGAAAATGGAAGAATAATTTTAGTTCCGAAACACGGAAATTCTGTATCGCGCTAAAACAATATTTTTAAATAATGATAATTTAATATTGTTCTGTACTTTTCGTTGAGCACTTTTTTAAAAATAAATTCTAAAGAACTGGATTACTAATCTGACTGTTCTTTCATGGCCGGGAGATTGGGTTTAAGACTTCGGTGTCTACTTTTATATTTACATACGGTCTACCTCATATCTCTCATAATTTAATCCGTAATTATAGCATACCTTAAAACTATATTTTATCATTTGTACATGTATATGTTATGGTCCGGTTCGTTGTACCACGGTGATAGTCCAAGGTCGAACCAATAAAGAAGAACTCGTACACGGATATGGAATAACACAGATATATTACAAACAGGAATATATACAGAGAAGTAGAAAGTGTTAGTAAGAACAATCAGCTTTAGTAGAGAGAACAATGTAGTCTCGACCAGTATCACTATTCCAATGTCTTGCAGTAATTGTCTGAACGCTACTCTGTTACGGACCGCCTCTGACTCGACTGACTGACTCGCTCGTTCTGACAGACTGACAAACTCCTGACGGACTTCTGACGGACTTCACTCCAGACTTCAGACTGAACGGTATTTAGTCAACCCCACCCCACGAGGGCATCATGTGGCACAAGGCCGGTTTAATGTGGGATCTCCGAGCCCGTGGGATCTCCGAGCCCGTGGGATCTCCGAGCCCGTGGGCTCGGCCCAAAATATGCCGTTTGAACTCGTATACACAGTCAGTTTACCTCCCCGAAAGAGACTCCGTTCGGGTTCCTCCCCGCCCGAAGGCAGAGACTTCAACCGATCAGCCGGTCGCCCGACTTCGGACTGAACTCTCTGCTTCCTCTTGAGGCGCAGTATTTATTACGTATGGAATAGTCCATTATGTTATTATGGGTAAGGTTCCATAACAGTATATATATATATATATATATATATATATATATATATATATATATATATATATATATTTGTATACCTGGTGTAACAGCAAAATTGTCCACGTGTTAGATGAAGCTCTGAACCACTGTATGTTAGAAATGATTAAAGATATCTTACTGGAATTCTCCGAGGTTTTTATAACACTATTGGAGTCTACTTTGAATCACATGAATGTATATATAATCTCCGAGCTTAGCATAAGAATCGTAATGAAGGAGGTTTTTTCGGGGTTTTTTTTCCTGATTATTTGACTGTTACGTCTAACATAATTTTTTGTTGTTTTGAATAAGAGCATTTATTCCGAGCCTTCGTGGGAACATCTTTCGATTTTTAAAAATGCCTAGAGAAGTGTCCGATAGCGCTTGGGACAATAAAAATTATGGAAATTTTTTGTACTCCCTAACTCTTTAAAACGGAAAAAAAAACTTAAGGACGCTAGAAAAACTGTATGTATATATACAGATATGTGTGCGTGCTTATCTTCATTTGGAATAGTTAAATGAGGGTTCAATCCGCTAATATTCGATTACAACCATAAGTTTCCTAATCGGTATAGAACAACTTGGATCGCCTCATCTTTTAGCTCTCTATGTCTCTTGATGGTGTTAAAAGCGGAGAGGCATATGTGTGCATATAGATAGTTTCACTATTAAAGTTATATCTTAGTATAAGTCGCGGCACTTCTCATCTTAAAAAAGAAATCGTGGTGAGAATAAATTTAGACTTGACAAAAATGACCTAACCCCAAAACGTTCACACCATAATTCATAGATAGTTTCCCACAATTATTTTTATTTTTTTATTTACGCAAGTAATATACCAGGTGTAACAGCAAAATTCTCCAAATCGTGTAACAGCAAAATTCTCCAATTGTAAGATTAAACTTTGTACCGGTGTATCTTAGAAATGATTAAAGATATCATACTGGAATTCTCCAAGGTTTTATAACACTGTTGGAGACTACTTTGAACAACAAGTAAATATACTTACTCTCAAGCTTAAGAGAAGTAACGTGATGAAATCGATCATAAACGAAAATGACATGTTCAGTATTAATTAATCATACTTAAGGATCGGATATATATATATATTGGAAATATATATATTGGAATCAATATTTTTAAATAAATAATTATATTTATGCTCTACTTCTGTATCGAGTACTATTTTTTTTTTAAAATAATAACTAAAATACTAAGTTCCTTCCTATTTTCTATACATTTTCATATATATATATATGTATAATAAGAAGGCTTAAACTCTAATATCTATTATATTCTGACTCTGTTCTGGACATTGAGTTCTACATGGATTCTATCCTCTTGAAATTTTATATATATATATATATATATATATATATATATATATATATATATATATATATATAGTGTGTGTGTGTGTATGTATGTATGTATGTATATATTTATATATATATATATATATGTGTGTGTGTGTGTGTGTGTATGTATGTATGTATATATTTATATATATATAGATAGATATATATTTATAGATATAGATGCGTGTGTAAATATTGACCACTAATATTATCTTTCTATATATATATATATATATATATATTTTTTGTGTCTGTGTATTGGCCACTAATATTATTCTCTCTCTCTCTTTATATATATCTCTCTCTTTCTATATATATATATATATATATATATATATATATATATATATATATATATATATATATATATATATATATCAGTTATATTATTAGAAGTAGATAATATAAAATAGAGATATGTAACGTTTGGCACGTAAATTCCTCCTTGGACGGGGTTGTACACATTCAGATACTTACCGGTCACAGGGCTCCGTCTCTGTGCTGGTGGTATCACGTCTATGACTAGCTTGAACCGGATCTGAACAGTTTGGACCAGCTATGACAAGCCAAGACCAGCTATGACTGGCTTAGACCAGCTTGGACAAGCAATGACCAGCATAGACAAACGGTCCGAGTGTTTTCACTCGGGTTCCCACGTTAAAAAACTGACCTTGTGTCACAACCTGACTCATTGGGGTGGGGGTCAAGTGAATTTCAATTCCTCCTTGGAGGAGTTTATAACGCATTATTTATCATCTCTCAGTTGCGTCTCTGTCCTTGGGCAGAGTGCGCTCAGGGGCTTCTCTGTTTAAGGACAGGGGGGGGCAACTGAGGAAAATCATACTGAGAGGTGCCCAGCTCTAGGGAACAGCTGCCCGAGGCCGCGCCCTCTCATGACACCAGAGAGACGGATCGGTGAAGGGGGGTGCTGTGGGCAATTTTTGTTCTTTGCCCTGGTGTTCGCACTCGGGTCCCCACCTTAAAAAAAAACAAAAAACTTGGGTCCCATTTCGTCTCAGTGGGTAGAGTAAATACCGCGTGTAAATTACTGTAAACTATGGGTATTAGTTAGGACTTTTATGGAGACATTGCGGTATTATGGTGGATTTAGTAAAAATGGTAAGAACGCGTTGTCTGGGACTTAGGAGTATTGTTGTATATTTGGGTCAGACATTGTGGTTAGCTAAGTTAAACGTCAAGACAGAAGAAAACCATAATTTTCCTCCTTTGCCCTTGTTCCACATTTTGTATAAATACAAATAAATATTTTACAATAAAGTAGAACTGGTGCTTTTTAATCTCAGAATTCGTGGGTGAATTGATCTCTATTTCTGTATTTGTTTGTATAGATTCCATAATATCGATTTTATTTAATTAGCTATTATGCTTCTTCAAATTCTGAACGTATATCTAATTACAATTTCTGTTTTCCCATCTTTAATTAATTTTATCCTATAAATGTTTGCCCTGTTCTGTGACCCATAAAATAAAAATAATTGTTTGTACGGAAAGTAAGGACCTACGTACATCAAATCGTCCTTAAATTAAGTGGCAGCAGAAGAATTATCGTTAAACTTTTAAAAGGTAAGCTTAACCATTGAATTCTATTCTTAAAGGCAGCGATCAATTTTGAGTTCTTCTGTTTATTGATGCCTATCGTATATACTCGTCCCTAACTAGTGTGATGATGGCCAAACCAAGAGTCTTAAACATGAAAGCAACGATAATGGCTAGTATAATATATTAATATATATATGTTTAGCCTCGTATAATCTGGCAACCCTGAATCTGGGCTAAACGAAAATCGTTCCCTGCGCCTAACCTTTCCAGGGCTTTTGAATGAGCTATGAATCATTGAAATCGGACCAGTGGGAGCGGAGGAACTGCTTGGATGCACACAACGCACAAACACACACATATACAATGTACTTTATATATAAGATATATAAGGTGTTCCAAACGTCATCTATACATTTTTCATATATTTTATTTCAGAATATAATGAAATTACCCGTCTCCTTATCATATATTATTAATATTTAATTTAAGTTTCTGAAAAAATAAGAGAAATAAATGGACGAAAAAAAAAACATGATAAACATTTTGGGACACCTGCCGTTAAGTTACTTTTGTTAAGTTACTTTTGTTAAGTTACTGCCGACAGGTGACTTTGTGAACACTTGTCCTTAAGTGACTTTTGAAACACCTGCCCCCATGTGTCTTTTGAAAAACCTGTCGTTACGTGACTAGTAACACGTGTCCTCAGGTGACTTTTGGAATACCTGTCTTTCGGAGACTTTTGGAACAACTCTCCTTTGGTGACTTTTGGAACACCTGTCTTTAGATGGCTTTTTGAATGCCTCTCGTTAGGTGACTTTGGAAACACATGTCATAAGTTGACTTTTGGAATTGCTATCCATAGGTGACTTTGGGAACACCTGTCCTTCGGTGACTTTTGGAACACCTGTCCTTACGTTAATTTTGGAACACCTGCGTATAGGTGACTTTTGGAACACCTGTACTTAGGTGACTATTGGAGCACCTTGTAAATATTCATGTTATACATCCCTATGCCTGAAAGAGTTATAATGTTAATTTTAATCTAAACTTTTTGACTCTAGAATAGTCGATCTCGTGTGATTAACATGATTAAGCCATTGGATTACGTGCATTGACAATGCCTGCGCCTTTCTTAAGATATCTACTTATTTATGCAGTTAAGTATAACATATTTTCTGAGCAGATAAATTCATTGAATGTACATATAACTATATCGTTCTTCATACTGTTTTTCTAAGTCGACCTTCTTCCTTTTCTCAAAATTTCCTTCGTGACTTTTTTGATTTTCGTCTCGAATGTTTGTTTGAGGAAGAACTGTCGAAAATCAATTAGAATACCTCTTGATGTTTTCCTAATTCCGGAATAAAAGGATAATTTTTTTTATTCCTTTCTCTCTTACATTTCTTTCTTTCTTTTTTTTTTTTTTACAAGACACTTTTATCCTCCGGCGTCATGATAGAGTTTTAAAAGATGACATTTTTCTTTTGATTTTAATTTGTGATCTTTAAAGAATATATTTTCTCTGACCTTCCGTGACATTATGTCATCTTTCAACAAAATTTGCTGTTTTATAAGGAATTCAACGATTCCGGTTTTGATTATTTAAGACCTTTCTGGAAATTTAAAAAAAAAACATTTTCTTGTTCGAACCTCTTACGAAAGAGTATTGTATGAATTAAAACCATCGTCTAAAAACGAGAGGTCAGGAGGACACATCGTATACAAAATTCATTATTGGCTATTTCTTGAATTTTTAATAGTTTTTCTCATAATTTAAAACGAATAATAATGTTGGAACCTCTTAGCAAAGAGTATTGTATGAATTAAAACCATCGTCTGAGAACGACAGGTCAAGAGAACACACCGCATTTCTGTTTTGGGCAACCAATTGTAATGACAAATGCATCGTCCTAATTAACCTTTTTTTTTCTAACCCTTTGAGGTCTGACCACTGCAGGGTTCAAAGGGTTAAATATATCATAACAGGCGATGAAAAATGGGTGATATACGACAATGTTTAATGCAAAAGTCAGTGACTTGACAAAACTTCAAAACGAAACCCAAAACCTGAACTTCATGGAAGAAACGTAACCTTGTTTAAGTGGTCGGATAATCACGAATCATTTAGAAATTTTAAAATGAAATGAAACAGTAAAAGCACATTTAAAAACATTTTCTTGTTCAAACCTCTTACGAAAGAGTATTGAATGAATTAAAACCATCGTCTGACACATCGTCAGGAGGACACACCGCATACAAAATTCACTATTGACTATATCTTGTATATTTCAATAGTTTTTTTTTTGTCATAATTTAAAAAAAAAATAATAATGTTTGAACCTCATGTGAAAGAGAATTGTATGGAGAATAATATCAGGGCTAGAGAAAATATAAATTTCACTATTTCCAAAACGTTAATGATTTCTTGCGTCGCATTTGCAGTATGAGGATGGCGAGCAGTCTAATTCTTCATTCGATTTCTTTGGTAAGTAAAGATCGTCATTCTTTTAATGTGTCATTCCAGCACGACAATTGCTCACTCTGGCATTTTACAATTACCGTTTGAAAAAATTTCGAGAAATTCGTAAAATATCCCTATTAAAAACGAACAAACTCAGACAAAAAATTCTCTCCATACCAGCCAATAGATTCCGTTTAGGTTGAAACGTCGAAAGATGGCCATGATGAAGAAATCATCTTCATTCGATTTCGATTCCCATAATGAACTTAGTTTTCATCGCTAGTGATTTCTTCTTCTTCTTCTTCTTCTTCTTCTTCTTCTTCTTCTTCTTCTTCTTCTTCTCCACATGCTTCTTTATTTTTCTTCGTCTACTTCGATTTCTTCTACTCTTCCCCATTCCTCCTCTTCCCCCTCCTCCCCTTCCTCTTCTTATCTTTTTTCTCTTCCTCCTCCTTCTTGTTTTTCTCCCTTCTTCTTCTTCTTCTTCTTCTTCTTCTCATAGTCTTCCTTCTTCTCATCGTCCTCCTCTTTCTTCTTCATCTGCTTCTCACCTTCTTCTAATTTTCTTCTTCTTCTTTTAACCTTCTTCTTCTTCTTCTTCTTCTTCTTCTTCTTCTTCTCATACTCCCTTTTTTCTTTGCTTTCTTTTTCTCCTCCTCCACATCCTCTTCCTCCTCCTTCTTCCCTTCTTCTTCTCCTCCACATCCTTCTTTTTCTTCTTCGTCTACTTCGCTTTCTTCTACTCTTTCTTTCTTTCTTTCTTTCTTCTTCTTCTTCTTCTTCTTCTTCTTCTTCTTCTTCTTCTTCTTCTTCTTCTTCTCCTCCTCCTCCTCCTCCCCTTCTTCTTAGCTTTCATCTTCTTCTCCTTTTTCTTCCTTTCTTCTTCTTCTTCTTCTTCTTCTTCTTCTTTTTTCTTTTTCCTCCTTTTTTTTTCACCATCTTCTTCTCCTTTTCTTTTTCTTCTCACCATTCAAATATTTATTCTCCCGATGATGGCCATTTTGTCCGAAACTAGTCGAGGAATCTAAATGAAATAATAATAAAAAAAACGAAAGAATATTAATCTACAACCCAGTGTGTCTGAAGATTTTAATTTTTAATATTTTTATTGTTCAATATATTATATATATATATATATATATATATATATATATATATATATATATATATATATATATATATATATATATAAACCTGTTGCATGCTTGGATAATTTATTGATATAAATTTGAGTGCAAAGTTGTTGCACTCAAAGACAAACTCGATATTCAACAATATTTTTTTTAATAATTTCGAATGGAATATATTTCTATTGTAACTAATTTTTTTTGCTTCGCTGTGACGAAAAAAGATGATTATTCCTGTGTAGTAAGTTCGGCCCTCATTATGTGCCACACAATGTTAACCTTTCCCCACATTAATTTAAAATCATTAAAGAGATTTAAAATATTATCCGTAATCTAATGTTTTATTGAAGTTTAGAGAATTTGGACTCTAAATTTACTACATTTATACACCCTCATTTTCTGACAATGTTGTGAACAAGTGATCTTATATATAAAATCTGCACATACAAAAACAATTCAAAATTCTTTTTTAAAATACGCGGAGTCGTCAGATTTATATAAGCTTTATGCTATATAATTAGTAAATATACTTAAAAACAAAGTTTCCCATGATTTACAATACTGAAAATGAATTTGAAAAGATTTTAAAAGTATTATAAATTATTCTAATTAAAATGAAAACAAATCTTGCAAAAATTAATTTTTAACAGAAATATGTTTTATTAAGTGTGCGATAGATAAACTCTCGTCTAAATTACGCAAAAATGAAAATTAAGCTGACATCTCATTTTAAAATATATATTTACCAAAATTATACAAAACTGTCTTGAAATCACCTCAAAAACTAAACTATTCTCTAATAATCATCATAGAGATCCTTCCCTGCCCCCCCCATTAGAATGTCTGATAGTCAACTTCTTGAGAGAAACTCCCTGCGTCTGCTAGGTCTTACGTTGACTGCTGACCTGAGATGGAACAAATACATTGGGTCAATTGCTTCGTCCACCGCGAGGAAAGTTGGCTCTCTGTGCCGCGCCAGGAAATTTTTCTCTCCGGAATCGATACTTCAAATATACAAATCAACCATTCGCCCTTGCATGGAGTATTGCTGCCATATATGGTCTGATGCACCTTCTGTTTACCTTGGAGTTCTTGACAAGATCCAGAGGCGGATATGTAATATAATTGGCTCTGATCTAGCGTCTCGTCTACAGTCACTCTCTCAAAGACGCGCCGTCGCTTCTCTCTGTCTTTTCTACAAATACTTTCATGGTAATTGCTCCGATGAGCTGCATTCACTGGTTCCCAGACTCCATGAATTCAAGCGCCCTACGAGGCTGGCATCCCGCTCTCACCCTTTCACTGTAGAAACTTTTAAATGGAGCCGTCTCTTCTACTCCACTAGCTTCATACCTCGCACCTCTCGCCTGTGGAACACCCTTCCCTATTACTGTTTCCCTGACAGCTATAATCTCCAACTATTCAAATTCCATGTCAATCGACATCTCCAGTTACCTTGATCTATCCACTATCCTTCTCCGCATCCTTTCTTCTATCACTCCTATCTGCTCTTGCTCCAAATCTTCTGCAACCCCTGCATCCTAGTGGCTTCCCGCCTTGCTCGGGGAGTAATGCTTAAAAAAAGAAAAATAAAGAAATATTAAACAGAAAATTGGTTCAATAAAATTACCACCGGCTCCAACAACGGCCTCCAGACGACCCCGGAATCTCCTAATTCGCTTCTGGACAGTTTCATTGTTTAAGTTGATAAATACTGCCATAATTCTTGCTTTCAGCTCATCTATGGTGTTACAAGCAGTTTTGTTGATCTCTCGTTCAACTGCTCCCTACAAATAACAAGGGTGTTGCAGTCTGGGGAGTTAGATGGTCAGAGATAAGGGGTGATGTGGTCGCAGAAAATGTCTGATAACCATGACTGAATTCTCTTGCTTTTGTGGTATGGGGCAGAGTTCGGTTGCCAGACTTAGGGTCTTCCGGCAGCCACCCTCTTGACCCATAGCAGCACGACCTCCTCAAGGCCGTTGATGTAGGTCTCCGTGTTGAGTCTGAAGCCCTTTTGGAAGACGAATGGAAGCATAAAGCCGCCATCACTAGTGATCACTCTAAATACCTTCGTAATCACCATTAGACTCATCCTAAACTTTCCGAATACTCAGCACTCCCGTCAAATTGACCACCAAAACTTCTGAAATGGTCGTATTGAAGCTTCCGGCGCAAATACAGTACAGTATGCCGTTTACAAATTTCTGGCAGAGTAAATTGCGTCATGGCGCACTTTCTCTGACAGTCAATGCACAAAACTACACTTCTATAATGTGCAGTAGACAAAATTAAAAAACAAACAACGCGCATGCGCGAAAATAAAATATAAAATGGTGACAATATAAGCAATTTAAAGATTTTCTAATTAAATAGTATCTTAGTTTTATTGCGTTTTTTATTTTACGATTCAGAGTATAATTTCGGTAAGATTGAGTCCGATTTTACAAAACATTAATGATTTAAACTCTCCAAAGAGTTTTGCTTTTAATTAATATCGTCACAAATATTATCACACTGAATTCTACGAGTTTCCATAAAATAAAGTGAGGTTAAACACTAGATTTTCTAAGAAAACACATTTCTGAAATAATTTTATTCATTTGTGGATAAATCCTTAAGATTCAATTAAAATCCGATAATTATTTCATTATTGCAAGAATTTCTAAATTAATGTGTCTTTTACTGCAAAAAAAGCCTGAAATTTGCTGTGCTAATTTATAGCCCACTAGTAGGCTTCACCCGTTCGTTATCGCTTCACAAAGTAAAATATATTCACTACTTGAAATCTTTGAAACAAAAATTTGAAATGAATATTTCATTCATAAATTGGCTTGTTATAGGAAAGGAATGTTTTACAAATAAATGCCAACTTGTTGAAGGCCAAATAAAATGCAAATTTCAAACACTTTTCTGCACTATATAAGATGATATTGCTAAACAGAAGTATTTTTGATATGAAAAGCAAAACAATCCTTCAGCAGTCATGAAGGACAGAAATAAACTTTTTTAAAGTCAATATACAAATTAGTTAAACCTGAAGAGTGACATTATCTAGAAGTAGATAATATATAATACAGGTATTTATTAAGAATTATCGTTCAACTTTTAAAGGTAAGCCTAAACATTAATTCAATATTTAAATGCAGCGATCAATTTTGAGTTCTTCTGTAGTCCATTGCTGTTTATCGCATCTTAGTACTTCCTACCTATTGCAATGATGGCCACCACAAGATTCCTCCACATGAGCTAATTTAAATGCCGCCCAGTAGGGCAGCTTTTAAGCTAGCTTAAAATGGTAGCTAGCTTAAAATTTTAAGCGAGTTGCAAATTTGGAATACAAAACAAAAATATGAGTTACTCCCCTTGAACCGTGAAAGCAATGATAATGGCAAGTATAATATATTAATATATATTTTAACCTTGCATAATCTGGCAACCCTGAATTTGAGCTCAACGAAAATCGTTCCCTGTGCTTAACTTTTCTAGGCCTTTAGAATAAGCTATGAATCATTGAAATGGGACCAGTGAGAGCGGGGGGTGTTGCTTGGACACACACACACGAACAAAGACACACACATACAGCGTACTTTATGTATAAGATTTGCTGACGCAAGAAAAACAAGATTTTTAATCAAAATTTCTAAATTGGATTAAAAAAAATTAATTAAATATTAAAAAATACTTTGATCTTTTCTCATGAAAAGAGCATAAAGTTTTCGACGATAAAACTTTGTTTTCGTTAAGTTTGGATCATTTTTCTTCATGGTATGTGTTATGGTCCGGTTCCTTGTACCACGGTGATAGTCCAAGGTCGAACCAATAAAGAAGAACTCGAACACGGATATCGAATAACACAGATATATTGCAAACAGGAATATATACAGAGAGGTAGAAAGACTTAGTACGAACAATCAGCTTTAGTAGTTATTGTCTGAACGCGACTCTGTTTCGGACTGCCTCTGACTCGACTGACTGACTCGCTCACTCTGACTGACTGACTGACTGACTCCTGACGGACTTCACTCCAGACTTCAGACTGAACGGTATTTAGTCACCCCCCCGCCCCACGAGGGCATAATGTGACACAAGGCCCGTTTAACGTGGGATCTCCGAGCCCGTGGGTTCGGCCAAAAATATGCCCTTTGAACCCATATAAACGGTTTCAGGGTCGGTTTACCTCCCCGAAAGAGACTCCGCCCTTTGGCGTAGCCTCGTTCGGGTTCCTCCCCGCCCGAAGTCAGAGAGTTCAACCGATCAGCCAATCAGCCGGTCACCCGACTTCGGACTGAACTCCCTGCTTCCTCTTGAGGTGCAGTATTTATTACGTATGGAATAGTCCATTACGTTATTATGGGTAAGGTCCCATAACAGTATGCTAATTTTTCATCATGGTATGCTAAGTTTTTAGCGCTTCAATGACGGGATATATTTTCGACTATGTAATGATTTTGGCAGTGATAAAATTAAATTCATAATAAATGAAATATACAACGGTGTTCATATATCAGAAGTTGGATGTAAATACATTTTCAAGTATCAAGACTATCGGACAATCAGCTTACTGAGCTATAGAACTAATCTTATCATCCGAATTCTAATGAATAGAGCGCGCAGTAGAATTACACTGGACAATGGGCAGAAGAAAAGGGCGGTTTCGTTAAATATACTGGAGAACAAAGAATACAATAGTGTTGCTAAGATTAATATCAGAAAGAGCAATACAAATGCAAAAGGATGCATAGCTATGTGTTCCGACATTGTTATGGCAGCTCAACTAAAAACGAAATAAACAAATCACAAGTCGAATGTCAAAGATCCAGGGTCAGAAATAAATGTCGCAATCATTAATCGGGTGTCCAATATCAAAAACCCCCAAACACGTAAA